GGGGCGGCGAACTGTTCTCTCAACGGCCAAACTCCCCCGGCATGCTTATCTCTCTATTTTGGCCGATTTCTACTCTTTCCAGCCGCCTCCTCAAGCCTGGTAGAGGCTAGGCTTGACCAGCAGAACGTAACATGAACAACTATACTTTATATGAGCTACTAGGGTTGAAGTGGGCCGTGACGGATAAGTTTAAAGACTACCAGTGTAGGGGGTAGGACTGGTGTCACATCTGGCGTCTAAATAAAGGACAAAATGTCTAACTAAAATGTCTAAATAAATGTCGTGTCCCTGAGATCAGTCTGGCCCAAGACGTGGTCTAGTGTGGTCAGTCATTCTAGAAGCCTCGTGCATATATAACACCTGTACGGAGCTAAGTGTACGGTCTTCACCAACAATAATAAATAATAACCCATGTTCCTCACGCCCCTCATTATCACGTGCACTTTCACTTTCTTCTGGCTCACGCCCCTCTGCGCGCCCGTCCCTTTGTTCGGCACGTGGCCGCCTTGTTTTGCCGGGGCGAGGCGCAAACATACATGGATTTAACATATCCCTGTGTAGGGTTCTACTGGGACCACCTCCCCTCTCCGGAGTCACAACATAAACCGGGATATCCGCGTTCGGTTGTCTACCTACCACGTCACATTGTTCCCACTGACCGGGTTTTCTTATTACGGATCAGGACCCGTTCCCCTGGTAACAGTGGAGACGTCCGCGCTGTAGGATCGTACATAGCTTCCTGTGCAGGCCCCAAGGCGGTGGGGAAGAGTTTTTAACGCATTATTTTAATATAGCCGGCCATCCTACATAGCCGCCGAGAGAAGGTCCCATTCCGGAACTACCTGGGCGCTGGGGACGAGCGCGGAGGAATGTTGAGCTAGGGGTTAATTCACGTCTGACAGGAAAATTTGAGCTGTCAACTTTTTGGGAGATCGATAGAGCGGTATCACGGTGTAATGGTTACCAGGTATATGTCACAGGATGCAAGTCGGTCGTTATTGGTAACCTGCGGTCGTTATTGGTGACCTGCGAGTAGACATTTGATTGGTCCTCACTGTCCCCGCTAGAAAATGACAGGGATGATTCGCCATTCAAATACAAAATACCGCAAACGCTTATTAGATCATCGCTTATTAGATCATAGGCGTGGAAGCCTTTGATGTAGAAGCACTTGGCATAAGACCAGTACTAGTGTGCTAAAAACAAGGTAGGACGGCGGTCGGGTCTTTTGATAAGACACAGGCGATAACATGTCACTGCTCAACATGTTTCTGAATTTCGGACCATTGAAGGTCGCTGCGGGAGTCAGATCCCTCGAAATAAATGATTTCATTCTACTAGCCTCTACCAGGCTTGAGGGCGCGGCTGGAAATAGTAGAAATTGGCCAAATAGAGAGATAACACGCCGAGGGAGTTTAGCCATTCAGTTAACAGTTTGCCGGCCCACAAGCCTGTGGAATATCGCTATCTTCTTTGAAATCCACTAATCGCTATCTTATAGGTGCCAAGTAGCGGGCCGGCAAACTTTAAACTGGATGGCTAAACTCCCTCGGCGTGTTATCTCTCTATTTGGCCAATTTCTACTATTTCCAGCCGCGCCCTCAAGCCTGGTAGAGGCGAACATTCTACCATGCAAACACACTGCCCTTTGGTGGTTGGAGGGGTTTGTGGGTGGAGGAAGGTTGTGTCGTACGTATCTGTTGCATATGATTCTCGATGTTTGAATCTAGATTTTATCTAAGCTTATGTAAACAACCATGATATGAGAAGAAATAGATAATAATAATATAATAATATTGAATCTTTATTGCATGTTCTTGCCCGGATGGGCTAAATGCACAAGAGGATGTCCAGTATGTAAAACATGGGTATTACATACTGGTACGTTGTATTCTAATGCAGAGTGCTAGGAATCTATACATTACAATAATACTATATACTACCTATCATCTACTGCTAGTTGCCCTTTCTTCTCTCTTTTTGAAACATTTGGAAACATAATTACATAGTTTGTCTACTGTAAATTCGTTCTTATGTGACATCAAGTGTTTAAACATGTCCTGCTTTGACATTTTCTTACATAAGTTATATATGCTTGTAAAATCTTTTCGTTCGGGGACGAACGACTTGTGAGAGGGGGCGAGTGTAGCAATGTGTTGTTAGGAGACAACCCCCCATGTCCCCTGTGACAGGAAGTCGTCACCAGAGTGACCAGACTGACCACATCTGTATCTTATTAGTTATGAATAAAGGACTCAGACCATAGTGTCTGAGAGACAGTTCTTGCAGGCAGCCCCTGAGTGCGGACCTCGTTCAGAGCCTCTCCCTTCAATACCCTACACATATCTTGTCTAATTGTAAAGTATCGAATAGCTCTTGGCGTTCATCTTTATATAATGTACAGTCAAGTAGAAAGTGTATCTCGTTTTCAACATATAAATGATTACAGAATTCACACGTTCTATCTTTCAGAGGAGTACGGCTATGCCTGCCGGATTCTATACGTAAGGGGTGGTCACTAATGCGAAGTTTACACATGGCTCTGCGATGTTCGAAGTTTGCAATGTTTAAATATGTTTCTCTTTCATAAATTTCTTTGAATGTTTTGTATGTCCTTAGTTTGTTGCCTTGGTTTTCTCTTCTTTCTTTTACTTGTAGTTCTGAGTTGAATTTTTGTATAAAGTTATCTTTCAGTCTTTGTTTTAGTTCATAATAAATGACAGAGCAGAAACCGGTTGGTGTATAACTATAACGACAAGGGTACGTATTCCAGAAGACCCGATCCTTCCGCGACATTGCCATGTGCACATGTAAAGGCTAGGACGGCTATCTGACAAACTGTTTCACATTCACATAATGTTAGTAGCGGGACTCAGCCTCTACCAGGCTTGAGGAGGCGGCGAACTGTTCTCAGTCAACGGCCAAACTCCCTTGGCATGATTATCTCTCTATTTTGGCCGATTTCTACTCTTTCCAGCCGCCTCCTCAAGCCTGGTAGAGGCTAGCGGGCAGTGTTCTAGCCAGCGTCCGTTTTTCCGTCATTTGACGGAATTTTGCCGCTGGTGACGGGTAAAAAAAATACCCAAACCGCCAAAAATCTTCATCGAAAGACATAGGAAGGACCTGGGAATTTTGCAAAGATCTAAAAAAATCAGCGGAAGTTTGCGGCTAAGCCAATTTAGATCGTTTCTGCCGCCTGCCGGCCGCTGGAGATAAACAGAGGCGGTGCCGCGGTGCAATAAGCAAAATAAACAGAGGCGCCGACCGCGGCGTGGTTCCCAGTGGGTGGGGAACCAATAGAAAGATTGCGCTAGTCGTGTGTGCGGCACGTGTCGTCGAAATCATCAAAGGCTTCTCCAATCACGATTCCATTTGTGCTTACGATTACCATGCGATTACCACGTGCACGTGGTTGAGTTTCCCTGGAACGGTAGGCGGGACCTTACTTCCGGGCCCAACTACGCCCGCTACAGTTTACCTCATCCTTTGCATGATTATGACAATAAGATTATACCGGGTATCAGAACGCGTGGTATTGGGGTTCTTTGGCGTTCTTTTATAGAAATGTCCTGCTTTTCTTGTCTTGTTCTGCTATTTCTTCGGCGCATAATTGACCGGGTCGGACTGGATACACGTGTTTGAATACCTTCAATAAAGACACCCCGTGACCCCGTAGTAGTTACTAAATTCTGAAGTGCTGCAATCTGCATGAACTTCTAAACCCCGACGACTGGATACTGTCTGTCAAAGTGTCTTGTATTCCATCTTCTTTTTTCTACAATTATCACGATAACAAAAAGCATAAGGCTGCTCCGGGTTTATAATATTTTTATAGTACTTACTTACCACACTTCACAAGACTACGCCTACACAGTATGCTACACGGGCGCCGCGCACGGCGTCTGTGACTTTGTTCTTGCCGACGGTAGACTCCGTGTCTCCTGTGGCATATATACATGTAGCATTTTAGCAGAACTCTATGGTACAATAAGGAACTTGGTAATGTTGGTAACAGTTGGTAATATATACTTTCATGGATTCTACGTCAAATCAAGGTGATGGTCTCCCTTCCTGGCAAAATTTGAATAAGTTCAAACAGACGGGAGGAGACAGCTTTTACATAATTGCAAACAATCAAGTCTTGACAGGAACACACATCATGATATGTGGTTGCCTGTTCCCGTCATACAAACGGTGCAGGTTTTCCGATACGGTCCTCAGTAGAGAGCCGTTCTAGACGATGTTAGAAAACGTATGTTTAGTTATGTGTGCAAGCTGCAAAGACTCCAAGTAAACTGCAATGTGCAGAAACTACAATTATTTTGTGCAAGCTGTCAGAACATCTGGTTTTAATATCGCTCGTAGTCTCTCAAGTTCCGTGCATCCTCCACAGCTATCTGCAAACAGGCATTTATTGTGGTGCCGTTATTGTCAACCATGTGTGAGTTTTTTTATGAACTGAAGAACAAAGGGTGTCACTCTTTGATGAACTGAGGCTTCAAAGCAAATAACAGGGAGATGAAATGACCGATGTCATGCAGTGTGTCAAGAATAGTGTCTGCCCCAGCTGGTAGGAAGAGAATAAAACCCACAAAAGCTGATGTGCAGTCTGCAGTCTGCCCAACTATTTTAAGGTTTCTCCTACTCTCCAAGCAGAGGTTGTGGGGGAGTGACCGTTACCTTTTTATATATGGCCGTTTTTTGGTCGCTACCCGTCGGTGGCCGGCAACCTTCTCTGGCTAATGGATACTACCTGGCCAATTTGATACTGTCTTTTTGCCACCGAGAGGGATCTGCTTGGAGATTAAGCATCTGTGGGTCAATTGGCACGTGTTCGCTACTTAAACGTCACAGATTGCTTTTTCTACCTCCAGCCCTAGAGTTTTTGTCGATAGTACGTTAATCTGATCATGCTAATCCAAGAGTTTGATCCTTTCGTACATCAAGGATATGCCATGTAGGTGCTAGAAGTAGTACCCTTTGTCTATTTGTCTGCTGCTCGTCGGTGGCGGCTCTCTGCCTTTTAGTCTGGGATGTGATAAAACCGGGTGTTTTGCGTAGATCTGTCTCACTCTGAGATAGCCATTTTGGAGAGCACCACGGTTACACATCCTCCGGTATGGACGAAGACCAACAGGACGATATTTTCGAGGAGCTACGTGTGCGGGCACAGGAAGCAAATGCCGACGTGGACCAGGACCAGGACCAGGACGGCGAGGACCAGCCGTTCGTAGAGCAACAGCAACCTCGAGCAAGGAACAACAATGCTCGACACCGCAGGCAGCAAAATCACTTCACGAGAGACATTTCATTGTTGCAAACAATTTTCCAAGTGGACGCGCATTCCCCCCCGACAAGCAATTTGTTGACGGAGGAAGTACAGATACATGATTCAGCATCAAGCTCTGACCTGCTACGTACCATTCGGAGGGAATTGCTGTCGAAGGTGGGCATCCGCCCCGCTCAACGAACTTTACTCCAAGCAGCGTCTGTAGAGTAAGTCTTGTTTTTGTTCCAATTCAAATCAATGATCTTTCAAAATGCCCGTCAGCCTGAAACATAAGTTCTCGGCATTACTTTTGGGAGACGAGTGCGCCCGGCCCACTGGCCAGGCGGTTAATTGTTAAGAAGCAATCTTTCCTCTTGTCGCTCAAGACACCTTATTCATGACGCAAAAAACAACAGCAACAACATAGCTAAGCACATGTTGTCCGCCCATTTGTCAAATGTGTCTTGTTTAAAATTCTTAGCCTATTCAGAAAATCAACCGCATTGCCATTTGCGACCCACGGGTATACTATCCGTCGCAAATTGGAGCTTCTATGGCCATGGATCTTCTCTGGTATACTATCCCTTTATTTCGACCAATTTCTACTATTTTTCCAGCGATCCGCGGTGCCTGGTAGAGGCTAGGAAAATCCGGCCGGAGATAGCGGGTGTGAATCTGGTTTCGCACTACCTTCGAATTGCCACAATGTGACATGTGAACTAGTCTTGGAGGTAGTATCAAAGAGATAAGAACAAGCTATCAAGTTTAGTAAGGGCTCTAGTATTGCTTCGGTCCCAATTGCGCCGGTGCCCGTCGGGGATGTCCTTATATCTGGAGTGTATCAGGCTCTGGAGTGTAAGGGCCACCGGCTGTCGTGGTCACAATAAAAGTGGCATTTATTTTAATGTTTAAAATGTTGTCACGTTACCCTCCATTTGGTCGGTCTCCGGCAGGATCCTAATTGATGCCTTGACGATATACTGTATCTTGTAGCGACCCACGTAATACACAGTTCAAGCCTTTGTTGTAATTACCTGATCTGTTACGTCACATATTTGACCCGTTCTTACCAAGGAGGTTCAAAAAGTTCTTAAATACGAGGAACACAACTTTATTCTGTGAATTTGGACTCTGTGACGTAACGATTCTGTCCCGGTGGACTGCCGGCAACCGAAGGGGTATCTTCTGGTGATCTCACGGATAGGTCACGGAGTCTTTTTGTCAGCGGGGACCGGGTGGAATTAAGTCGGAGTTAAATTCGTAGGGGCCATGCCCGAAAGTTACCCAAAACAGCCCTGCAACTACCCGGTTGGGCCCCTTTCCCCTTATGTGGGTAACATCTCATTGTGAATCATATAACTCTCCCGAAGCCTTTCCGTTCTTAGGGTTCGCGTTAGCATGTGTAACTTCTCGCCATTCGTGCATTTAATCTAGTCTTGATAATTCTAGCCTATTCTATCCTTACAAACTGTTATAATTATGTCAATTTGAATGTGTATGGCGGTATCCTCACCAATTTCCTAAAGTGCTTTAATAGTGATTTTGTACACGTGTTCTATATCATTAGATACTAGTACTCTAACAAAGTCAGCCTTTTGGTCCCTGTTGTGTTGATAAACTCTTTCAGTAGGGGACCAAGAGAGTGGAGGATTCCTTATGTAGAAAAACCGCGTGAATTAATTGACCTTGAATTACAGCTATCCAAAATTATCCCTTTTCCAACAGCAACACTCGTCTGTACAGATTCAGGGCGACCACATCAAGGATGGAAGCCATTGGGGAAGGATTTCCTACAGCGGCCGTCCTGAAGAGGGACAGTCGCAGAGATGTACGTGTGTACATGTATGTCGGTGAGTCCCATTATCAGTACTAATAATCTTTTGAATTTTCTGTCATCATGAAGTCGTTTCATAAAATCAAGGACTCAAGCCAGTCTAGTGTAGCTAGTCATGTATAGAGCATGCAGGTGGAACGGAATCTTGTACATTATGCATTTTTGGTCATTGTAGTCGTTTCACCATTCCCCTCTAATGACTTATCCGGTATGAAGGCTGGTGTGAACTTTAGCTACATATATATAGGGCGATTGTAGTGCCTTAAGTTAATACCTTTGAAAATCCTTTTTTCTCTTGAAAGTTTTGGTCCATTTTGGATATTTTTGGGTTGAAAGGCACAGGTAGGGTCTAAACTTTCCTACATTGGTCAAGTTTTGTTTATTTCAGCAGTTTAGTGGGCGTTATGTGAGTAGTTAGGTCTTGTCTGGCCAGGCGGATGGATACCATGGAAAATGTAGGTCAAAGTTGAGGTTTTGTTACTATCATCAGCTGTGGCGGGAATTTGAGATGGTCGACCCCCTGTTTCCTTTCTATTTTTTGGGAATCAGACCCTTGATGCTACCTGGTGCAGAAAAATTTTTGAGATTGAAGTACGTTCATGAGGACTTCAAATAGTGTATTTAAGCATGTGTTCCTTTGGACAAATCTAATACTAGTAGTACTGTCTGCACTGAACACCCCCCCCCCCTTTACCCAAACTCATTAACTGGATTAGGTTTGGTAATTTTTATTTTCAATATCAGATACTGGTACCTGTTGTTAGATGATGACCTGATTTGGAGAATATGGGTGCATGTTTTGAATGTTTTCTTAGCAAAAGTGTGATCTCAGTATGATAAGCTGTTATTTACCTATGGGCTGTGAGTATACTGGATAATTAAAAGTTGCAACAAACATCTTGGAAAGCTTAGATGACTGCAAAAGTCATATAGGTCTGTTGTAAATGATGGACTAAGTGATTTATGATGGTTTATAACATAGTATTTTTCACCAACTTGGATTTCTCTTCAGAGAGACTGAATGCAAGGAACTCCGCGCGCCCCCCAGAGGGAACTACCAGTGAGGCAGGGACCAGTCAGGAGGGTACACAGGCCCAGCGTCACGAGAACAGCACTACAAGGACACAGACCCAGCGTCGCGAGAACAGCACTACAAGGACACAGACCCAGCGTCGCGAGAACAGCACTACAAGGACACAGACCCAGCCTCGCGAGAACAGCACTACAAGGACACAGACCCAGCCTCGCGACAACAGCACTACAAGGACACAGACCCAGCCTCGCGAGAACAGCACTACAAGGACACAGACCCAGCCTCGCGAGAACAGCACTGCAAGGACACAGACCCAGCCTCGCGAGAACAGCACTACAAGGACACAGACCCAGCCTCGCGAGAACAGCACTACAAGGACACAGACCCAGCCTCGCGAGAACAGCACTACAAGGACACAGACCCAGCCTCGCGACAACAGCACTACAAGGACACAGACGATCAGTCTCAACCCCGACCCCCCAGGGACCTCACCACTCCGTCTCAGCCCCGACCCCCCAGGGACCTCACCACTCCGTCTCAGCCCCGACCCCCCAGGGACCTCACCACTCCGTCTCAGCCCCGACCCCCAAGGGACCTCGCCACTCCGTCTCAGCCCCGACCCCCCTGGGACCTCGCCACTCCGGCTCCGTCTCAACCCTGATACAGGGACCAGTAGGATGAGAGCCACGCCTCGCTCTGAGTCTAACATGCCCACCATCAGTAGAGGTATGTGTAGTTGTATTGTATGCCACAATTAGTAGAATATGATGTTGTAGATGTGTAACTTTGCTGAGACTAAATCAGGCCCTTCTTTCAGTCATAATTATGTATATCGCCAATTCTGCCAACGATCGAATTCTAACCTATTGGGAACTTATTTATTTTTAAGACTACATTGTGAGGAACGCTGTCCAAGGAAACTTGG